ATGTAATATTGTAATATGTAATATTTACATAATTAAAAAATGAGAACATTATATTATTACCTTGCTTCAACATCATTCCTTGTATTCCAAAATGTAAGCTTAATTAATTCAGTACTTAAAGATAAGTTTGATTTCTTTATCCTAATCAGCTATAATCGCTAAGTTTTGAAAACAAATACAATATTTTCTGCTGCATCTCTAGATTTTGTTTAATTCGCTAAAAGTTTGCGAAATTACTTTACTTTTAAGCAAACGAAAAAAAAATATTTTTAAATCTTTGCTTTTGCGATTGCTTTTGCGATTGCTTTCGCTAATTAAAACAATTAACTTTGTGACAGAGTAAATACAAGTTGGTTCTAAGTGTAGTTTTCTGCCTTTTCATTAACATTCTCCTCCAAATCTATTAAAATTCTACACCTTACACTTTTTTTTTTCAAAATTAACGTAAATGTTTTCACATGTTTCCATTTCTAAAATAACATTTTTCAAAGCGAGATCTAGATTGAAAAAGTTTTCGATTAAAATTACGGTTATGAGTATATTTTCTTACAGATAGAGAATATTTTATTTCATGGATGTGGATTTTTATTACTACTATTTATTCCTTTTTATTACTGTTTTATTTAGGGCTTGTATGGTATTTGTCAGAGGTACTTTTGTTATACTTTTACCTAATAATATGTTATTTTTATTACTGTTTAAAGTTTGTAAAATTCATTCATGATTGCTAGGAATAGTTGCGTTAATCTCTAGCCAGTGCTTCTTACGTGTTGATCCACTAATCATAATAAAGCAAATTATCAATATGAACACGGCAAACAATTTTGTGTAAAGTAGTTTTAAGTAAGAGTTTTTAATTTTTTTTCTTTACTTTTCACTATTATAGTTCTTTGTATAATCAGAGAAACTTTTCAAATCGAATTTGTTAAGCATTAAATACAGTTGAATCACTTGAAATATGTAGTGACTATAATGAAGTTTATAAAAAAATTACTTTAAAGAATGATAAAATACCATGAAAAAAAATCATTTACTAATTTTTATTTTCTATCTTATTGTCGCTTTGAAGCTGCCAAATTTTGGTTTATCTTCTGAATGGTAATTCGGAAGCATCAATTGCATTAAACATGCATCAGGACATTTCATTGCAGATCTAAAGGGATGTTGGATAACCAAAATGTCGAACATAATCAGCCACTGAGTGACAGAGGCTCCCCCGCATTTACAAACAATCTTACTGCTATTCAAGTTTATTTTAATGAGACTTTACGTCGTTAATGTGGCTCAGGGGATTGAGCGTTCGCTTCCCTATAAGGTGTCCCAGGTTCGAATCCCAGCCGTTGCTGGCTGATTCAGATTCTATCCACGACTCACACAAACCCCATTGCGAATGAAAAATATTCTCAGTGATAGACGGATCATGGGTTAGAATCCCCTAACCGTCTGGCTATCCGTTTAAGGTTTTCCTGGTTTTCCTTCTACTTGAAACGCAAATGTGGATTAGTTCCATCAAAAAGTCCTCCAAGAAGGCCCAATACTTGATCCAAGAATTCCCTTCTTTCGTTGTGAGGTCGAGTTCAAAATTACAAGACTGCGGAGTTGAACATTGATAGTCGTAAACTCGGAAATTGGGTCTACTGTTCACCGTTGGTTTGAAAATATAATAGTTTAATGTGTGAAAAGAAATATTCATTTAGACTGAATTTAAGTAGAAAAGTAGAATGAGCCAATTTCAACTTTTTTTATGCTTCATTAATGTGAAAAAGTAAGATATCAGTAAAAAGATATACGATGTGATTAAAAAGCATAAGCTTATCATTTTACCGTTACTGCTCTACTCACGGAATTTAGTTTAAATGATCGTCCAAAATCGAATACTAATGAGCAACCAGACCACCTCCCCTGATTCTTTTAAGAATCGATCTCTTCAAACTTTTGATAACAAGCTCATTTGATATTCTCTAAGTCAACCGTTCATTTCAGAAACTAACACAAAATCAGTGGAAACTCTTAATTTTATTTGATTCTGGAAGAACTGATTCCTCATTTGGCTAAACAAATACCTATTCCTTCCCCTTGTTTCTTGTGAATAAAATAATATTAACCCAAAATCAATTAGATCTGCTACTCTGTTTCATCAAACAAAATTTTAAAACTAATTTTATTTTGCCTATTTATTTATTGATAGTTTCATAGTTTTGTTTAAGAACTTTGCTTGCTATAAAAATGCAATTTAAAATTGATTCTAAGTTAAATTAATTTGCATTACTCTGTCCATTTAATTCAACATTAGATTTACTATAAAAATATGATTTTTTATAGGATTTTTTTTAAAGTCATTATTAAAAGCTAGTGTTAAGAAATCCCCTTCCAATTTTCGAAGAATAAAATTTTAATAATAAACGAACAATTTTTAAGGATATTTTTTCGAGATGATTAGTTTCATAATTCATTTTTAGTTGGTGAAAACTTTTACTTAATTCGAAATAATCACTAATAATAATCACATGATAGGTAAAGTGCTTGGAAACAAGGTGATTGCAATTTTGCTTGTGGAAACCTAGTTATAACATCATCCGTCATTAAAGATTTTTCTTTATTTTGTTTTGTTTTATATAATTAACGTATAATATAACGATTCTCGTGATCCTAGTGAAAATAGTCGTTATTACTTGAGTTCAAAAAAATACAGTTGAACATTAACACCTAGCTAAGAAAATACTTGATTATTACTGACTTTACTGTTATAAATAATAGAAAAATTGATAATAACTCAACTTTTCTTTCTAAATTAATGCACACGTAAAATAACCCTTTCATATATACAAATGAATACATTAAAAATACATTAATACATTAATACAAAATACATCAAAAATAATATACTGGTTTGGGGCTGCCTTTTTCGATAAAATACATCAAGTTAACTATAAAGGCTTCATATTTTAACTTGAAAATGAGTTCCACAAGGGAAATGAATTTTCACAGAATGAATGAATACAATTCTCATAA